TTGAAATCTTAAATTAATAAAGATTTCGGGTTTTAAATCGAGTTTTTTTAGTTTTTTATTTTTCTAATATATATTTCTAGAAATAGTATTCGGGTTTTCTATATATAAAATATAACTTATTTAAATAGTATTATTAATTAATAAAAAGAATTTGAATATTAATTTATTATTTCTTTTTATAAGTAATAATAAATAATTAGAGCTTATTAATAAATTAGCCCAAATTAGAAAAAGAATTCGAAACTATATATTAATATATTAATATATTTTAATAAAAAATATAAAAATTATTATATAAAAATTTAGTATTTTATAAAGTAAATATTAATTTATATTATAATTTATATAAATTATTAATTAGTAATTAAATAAGTTCAAATATTATTTTTTCGAAATATTAAACTATTATAATAATTATAATAATAGTATTTTATTTTATTTAAGTTTTAATATTAAAAACTAGAGCTTTTAAAAAAGCTATAAATATTTATATAAGTATTTAATATATATATTAAAAGAGCTAGTTATTATAAAAGTAGTTTTATATTAACTTCTTTAATATAATTAAAAAAGATTTTATTAATATCTTTTCTAGAAACTTTATATATTAGTAAATATTAAAAAAAGTTTATAATTAAAATTATTATTTGTTTTATTATATTTTTACTATTTTCCTAATAAGCTTTCTAATAATAATAATAAATATTAATTAATAAAATTTGAGATTTAATAATAATAATAGTAATAATAAAAATAAAAATATTAAATAGTTTTAATTTAAAAGAAAGATTAATTCTTTTATATTTAATTCTATTTAAAATAAAATAAACTAAACTAATATAATAGATTTCTAAAAAAAAATTCAATCTAATTAAACTATTATTAATAATATTAGCTTTATTTTTTATATTTTTTATTTTCTTTTAAATAAAATTAATAAATAATTATATAATAATAAGGCTTTTATAATTTTATTTAATATAATTCTTATTATATTAGAATTATATTTAAAAACTTTATAATAATATATAACTAATTTAATTAAATATTATAATATTAAAGTTCTTGAAATTATTTTAAAATAAATTCTATAAATTATTATTATTCTTTTTATATAAAATATATTAATATATTTTAATAATTAGATATTTCTAAAAACGATTCTTTATTATAATTATTAAATTAATACTATTTTGTTTTATTAATTATCGGTTCACCAGGAACGCATAGCACCGTCACGTAGTCGTGGAATGCTATTTGCGTAAGTTGGTGAAGTTATTATTCTTCAGAAGTAAGGATCGCAATATCGTGGTATTGATATGCGATCCCTAAATCTGCTAAGCCTAATGGGGACTAGTCTACCGGTCGAGTCACGCCTGTGACGCGAGCTTATATGACTAGTCACATGACCAGGAAATTCGTAGTACAGCTATTCCGACATTAATATTTATATTAAACTAAATTCAGGTTTTTTTATAATATATATATATAATTTATAATAATATAATTTTAAAAATAAAGTAGTTTATAATAGATTTATAGAAAGAATTTAATAATAAAGGTATTTAAATATTTAAATATTTTATTTATAATAAGAAATTTAGAAAGTAAAATATTATAATTATAAAAGAATCTAAAGTTTAAAAAGCTCGATTTAATAATAAAATCGAAGTTATAATTAAAGAGTTTTAAAAATATCTATAAAATACATATTTTAGAAAAAGAAATTTATAAATATAAGTATTATATAAATAGAAAAAATAGTTTTTAAAAACATAATCTTGGAATTAAAAGAGATTAATTTAAAAAAACAATAAATATTAAATAAATAACTCATTAAATAGCTAATTATTTATTAATTAATAAAAGCTAAATATCTTTTTTATAAGCTATTAAATACTTTTATAAAATTAATAAATAGTTTTTTTCTTTAATATAAAATAATCTAGATTTGTTTTAGGCTATTAAATACTTTTAGAACTAATTTAAAATCTTTTCTAATTTATATATATAAACTAATTAGTATTACTTTATTAATAATATATAATATTCTTATATAAATATAAAAATATTAGTTATATTAAATTAGTAAAAATTATTATTATTTAGAAATAAGAATTATAATATTATAATATTAATATATAATTTTTAAATCTATTAAATTTAATAAAATCTAGTTTATTAATTAGGTTATTTATAAAATACGAGATTATATAATTATATCTCGTATTTTATATTTTATTATTTATATTTCGAATTTCATAATTATATATATAATTTCTAAAGAAATAACTATATTAATACTTATAAAATTAATTAAAAACTTATTTAGAATTTTATAAAAAATATATATTTAAATTCTTTAAAATAATACAAATCTTTGTTTTTATTTTTTATTAAGAAATTTATGATTTTAATAAAAGTTAATTTCTATTTTTTAAAAAATATACTTTTATTAAAAATTTATAAAAATAAGAAGTTTTTATATATAATTATAATATAAGCTATATTATTATTATTTAAGCTTCTTTTAAAAAACTATATATAAATTAATTTATTAAATATATATATTTAATAACTTTAAAAAAATCTATTATAAATATTTCAAAAAGAATTAATTAATATTTATTATTATATAAAATTATAGCTTTTATAATAATACAGGTTTCTTTATAGATTTAATTAAACTAAAGAATTATATTTTCTTAATTTATTGGAAATTTATATATTATATAAGAATTATATAATATAATTTCTAGAAATTTATATTAAAAGCTAATTCTAATATCTAGAAATTTTATAAAAAATAAATTAATAAATATTAAAAAAATAAAAAGAATTATAAAATAATATAAGAATAAGATTAAATAAAAAACATATATTAAAAAATAAAATACTAATAAAAGAAAAAAATTAAAAAATAAAAAATATATATAATTATTTAGAGTTTTAAATTAGAAATAATAAGAGTTAATATAAAAATACTAATAATAAAAATATTAATATTTTTATATATATAAGTAATTTAGATTAAAATAGTAATAAAAATAGTTATAGCCTTTATTCTAATATAAAAAAAGAGAAAAAAACCAGAAATAATAAGAATTTTAATAATAATAACTTAAAGAAATTATATAATTAGCTATTATAATTATTACAATTCCATGCTCTACCGAGCCTGGTATCTGGCATTTGGCATCTGAGCCTGGTATCTGGCATTTAGTATCTGAGCCTAGTATCTGGCATTTGGCATCTGAGCCTAGTATCTAGTATTTAGGGTCACATGACAATTACACGTGACGAAGCTAGGGAAAGCTATACTCCAGGAAATTTAGGACGCTAAGCCCTATTAGGCCGAGCCACAAGCAAAGAACTATAAATACTTAAGGGACCTTAGCTCGAGACTTCCTTTTCTTCTTAGCTTAGTTTTCTTAATAAATAGTTCTCCTATAAGTGCCTTATCCGTAGGCTTCCTTTATAGGTCTGTAATAATAATATATAGCCTTAATATATATTTTAGCTAAATAAACGAATTTAAAAAAGGAAATAAAGCTTCTATTATATTATATATTTAAATATTAAATTCTAGTAAATCTAGTATAATAAGCCAAATAATTATAATTAGGAAATCTATTATAAACGAGATTTATTATATTAGTATTTAGTAAATATTTAAAGAAATATAAACTAATTAAAAATGTAATATAATATTATAATAGCTATTATAAAACAGGTTAGTATAAGTAAAACCTAAAAGAAAATATTAAATATAGGCTATTTTAAAAGGCCTAAAATATAACTAGATTAATTAGATTTATATAATAAGTATTTAATACTTTTAATTAATTATAAATAAATTATTAAATTATAAAACTATAAATTATTAAATTATTAAATTACTAAAACTACTTGAAATTAAATATATAATTATACTAAATATAAACTAAGGCCTATAATTACTATTATTAATATATAAAACTAAATAATATATTAAAATAAAATTATTATTATTATTAGAAGCTATTTTTAAAATATTATCTAAAAGCTTCTTTTTTAAAAAGCTTTTTATATATTATAATAAGGTATTTTCTAGAAAGCGGTTTTTGTAAAGCTTTTTATATATTATAAATAAATTATTTCTCTAGAAAAATATTTTTTAAAAAGCTTTTTATATATTATATATAAAGAGCTTTCTAGAAATAGTTTATTATAATATATAAAGAGCTTTTTAAGAAAAAAAGAAAAAAGAAAAAAGGCTTTTAAATAATACTTTAAAAAACTATTTACTAAATAAAAGCTAGAGTATTTTGGATAATTATAGAGCCTTATATATATTCTTTTAAGATATATTTTACTAAATTTATATTATTTTTCTCTTTTTTATATCTTTTCTTTAGGGAATAGCTTGCTATAATATATAAAGAATTCTCTGAAAAATAGCTTTCTAAAGAATAATTTCCTGGAAAATAGCTTTTTAAAAGCAGTTTCTTAAAGAAATAGCTTACTATAATATATAAAGAGCTCTCTAGAAAAGAAAAAGGACAGCTATTTAAAAATAGCTTATTATAATATATAAAGAGCTTTCTTAAAAAGAGAGAGATACGGAAAGAAGAGAGAAGTAGCTTCTTATAGGGCAGTTTATTAGAAGATATAAAGAGTACTTTATTAATAGTAAGTACGAGTCTAAGTATAATTTCAGCGCAATTCTATACCTAATTTTAAGTAGCATGCAATTCGTGGTTTTTGACTTCGCGGTTTTTGCGGTTTTTGCGATTTTGATGGTTTAATGCTCTGCAGTATTGCAGTTTGACTACTTACCGCCTAAAATCCTGCCCTACCCTGAATTTCCTGTTAAACATTGGCTTTCCGATCACACATCAATGGTCATAAAAACAAATTTGAAGCACCAACTCCTAAAATGAACACTTGAATCTTATTTTCTACATGAAGTTCAAAGGAGAAGTTCGGCTGGGCTACCTGGCACACCCCTAGGATAAAGTATTGGTGTATAGTCAAATACTGCTTCCAATCCAGGATCTTGCCCGCTGTTACTTTATGACGATCTTAACCTCTTGGCTTTCAAACGCCCCTAATCCGGTATCGCATCTCTAACCCACTTCTCAATATTCGCTCGCTCCTCCTCTCCAAAGTCCACCTTCCACTTCCTCACCTCGTCATCAAGCACAAGTCCTTTCGAAGTCTTCCCCTCTACAATCCTAGTCGAGTTTGGAATGGTAGACAACATCCTCCTTTCCGCATTCCACATCTTATCCATTTCTTCTTTGCTCTTCGGATTCCACGAAAATTTTCAATTTCGCTGGATCAAGACCGATGATCTTGGCATACCTCAGCACGACGTCAGGCTCAAGCATGATGTCGTCTGCATCAGGGACGATTGGCCAAGCGACATCTGAGTCCTTCTCTTCGGATTTTGCAAATTGTTGTGCACACCAATCGTGCAGTGTCCACGTCCAGTGCATCATCATCACAAGAGCCAGTAGCTTTGCGTCGTTCTTCACATTGTCTTGCCCTTCGTTTCCACAAATGTCCTGTAATTCGAAGGGATGACTAATGCTGGAGGACGAATTAGAAAGGTTGGGAACCAAATCTTCAAGAGCTCGTTAGGAAGGATAACTTTGTTGAACGGAGGATATGCCTGCCCCACATCCGGCTTCATCGTCCAAGGCGTCTCATCCACGCTATCTTCTCCGCAAACGAACCTCGTCTCACCGACGGGCTCAGCAATCCAGTTCACAAGCTCTTTCACGAAAATATCCTTTCGATGCGCTTCAGCACTCTCGATGTGTGCTTGAAGAGCATCGAATGAAATCTGGTCGCAGTCCCGAATCTGCTTCCTTTCATCTAGTGTCCACTAGTTGAGATGCCTGGCTGTAGTCTTGGGTCGTGTAAATGGAGCGAGATGGTGGTCATGAAGCAATAACCACCTCATTCATTTGGTAGGTACTGGGATGGTTGATTGGTCCTCCAATAAGAGGATCTTTACTAGAAGGTTGGAAGCGGTGCAGGGCAAGGCTAGCAGGTAGAATTTACGAGGGGCGGTAGAAGTGGCAATCTACTCTGCAAGCTCAAATGGAAATAGAAAACTCAGAAGCTGTCGGGTGTGACTTTTAGGAGTTGATCAGGACGAATTCTTCAGAACATATAGCCGAAGGTAGGACTCTCACCTGATATCAGATATCCGGTTTAGGAAGGCCATGCACCCACTTATGAGGCTACTCAAGGTTAATCGAAGCTTTGTCATGGAATTATTCGAGTTCACTGCCAATTCTTTGGATGCGGGATTAACTTGCATGAGATTATATGTAAGAACCAAGCGGCACCCCCGGAAAGCACGAGCTTGGTTTCTTGGTTGATAACGGAGAACCTAATATAGGTCGTTAGCTGGGTCTCGCTCCTGAAGTGCACGTAGGGCGCACCATGCGAGGTATGACAAATCAGTTTGAGAGAATTTAGAAGCGTCGAGTATTTTCGTCTTTCCGGTATGTATGAGTTTGACTTCACCTCCTTCATGTTTGGATGGTAGGACGATAGCAAGCGTAGCGAACATGCTTTCAGCCTTTTCGGAACTTGAAAAGACCGTTAGCTTGAGGTGGGATGGAGCGAAATCGAGGCCAAGACTCACTCTTGATGCTGCTTGAATATTGGTCCTTCGTCGTAAAGCAACTTCTTGTACAGTTCTGCTGAGACGCCATCGCGAGTAGCATCAACGCCCAAACATGCGCTAACCTCAGCGACGATGGAATCCAAGAAAACCTTCCAAACAGAATTTATAATATCAAAGTCACTAAGTAAAAACCCCAACATCACTCCAACCTCCTCGCCGACGATAATTTGTTACCTTTGCCAAATGGAGCTGTATGGCTGGCAGCAACGATGAGTTGAACATCTCGTTCTGCTACCGGGAGGCCAATTTCTGCGCCGCCCTTCGGATAGAGGCCGGGGTTTGTAGGGTTTGAGAAGTGTCCGAACAAGGCGAACGAGCCGCTGTTTTGGATGTTGGAGATGCATTTATCGAGAGTAGCGGGGAGCTCCTTCGAGGTGGGGACTCCGAGTCGGGGCGTGAGCTCGAGGGCGGACTCGGATCTTCCTCGAATTCACGCATCTTGTTGCTGCACAAATTGGTTATCACTGAAAGGTTGGTTTGACTGTGTCGAGGATGGGTGGTTTCAGAGAGACTCAGTTCGAGTAGCATTGTGGAAAGCGCGTGTTGGAAACAAAGCCACCTGCATAGCGTCGGAAGGAAGGAACGAAGGGACCGACGTTCCAATTCAGCGGAGATGGAAGCTCTTGCTGTGCTTATTTCCCGTCAAAAATGCCATTCTCTCCCTCATTGAGTAGAATTGCCCTTTTTTCGAACTCGAGTATTTACTTGGACCAAACGGAAGGCGAGAAAATGCAGAAGCGAGGATTTTCAGGGGCGTGGTGGAGAAGTCAACAACAGGGCTATGACTTTGAAGAATCTCTCACCACATCCAGTAAGATCTGAACATTCCAGCTTGTCTCTGCCATTTGGCTCGCTTGAAATTTTTGGATCTGCATTAGAATTTAAAGCTAACACTTGAGCAAATTATTAATGCCCTATAACCTTTCCCCAAAGGATCAAAGATCGCCCTCACAGCGGCTTTTGCTTACTATGCGGACCGAAAGGCTTCACCTGCCTCTCCTTAACCGCCTTCTCCCTCTTCCACTCCCTCATCCAGTGCTCCACAAACTTAATCTCCTGACCCTGGACACCCGTGATCGTCTTTGGGGGCAAACTCGCCGTCGTCTCATTCGGAAACAGTCCGTTCTCATCCCAATGATGCACCGCGCCTTCAATCAGAAGAAACGGCTCTTCAACCGTACTGGTCCTGTTCTTCGCCGTGCTGTTGAACGGGCTTGCGTGAGGCGTGGCAGGGCGCCAGGGATCCCATTCTCCGTCAACAATGGCTAAGCGCGGGTATGAGATGCCGAAACCGCCGTACTTGTTGATTGCATCCACATTGGCAGGAGTGGTGATGTTGAATGCGTATTTGCAGATCAAAGATTCGAACGCGAGGTCGTTGGTGCGAGAGATTAGTGGGAGTTGGTTCGCAGGGACGCCGGACCCGGTTTGAAGGTAGCCCCATTGCGTGCAGAATTGGTACGGCCAGGAGCGCCACGTCGCAGTGATGTCGTCTCTAGCGTAGTTATCGGGATTATAGCTGTTCCAGCAGTTGTCCTGGTCAGGGTCTGTGCAGTTGCTGACGACGTTTTCGTAGAGCCAGCCGATCCAGTTTAGGAAGGGCGTTGTAAGGGAGCTGACTTCGCTGCTGTAGCCGCCTTTCTTGAGGAGGTCTTCGACGGTGGGTTTGAGGCCCTCTGTGTAGCAGTAGACGACGGAGGTATTTTTGATGGTATTGCACCAGTCGTCCCAGGTAGGATCATTGAGTGCTGGGTCCCAGTTCTTTCCTTGCCATGAGTCGAGCCCGCTTGCAAGAACCTGAGCAAAGTCGGCGTCATGAGTGACATTTACGAGGCCCCAGGCACGCTTCAGCTCTGCGGTCGTGGCTGGATCCTTCAAGCTGATCAAAATGTTGTCAACCACATGGGTGATCTTCTGTGTATATTCAATGCATGTCTTGTCAGCATAGAAGCGAATAGGCTCAAAGTATGCCCAGTAGTCCCAGATAGCTTCCGTGACTCCACTCGATGAGATGGTTCCTGGTATCGTCAGTTTCCTTGCGTCCAATTTCTAGGTAAGACATACCCCAGAAAACGTCAGGATACAACTTCCTCAAAAACGCATTAAAAGCCCCAGCATAACTCCCCCCATACCCAATATACGCCGTATTCGGCGCCGTCAGATCCAAATGCTCTAGCCCATGAAACTTCACATTTTGCGCAAAGAACACCTCATCAGCCAACGCCTGATCCGTAGTCAAGAACCTCATATTCTCTGTCGTCAAATCCGGGACCGGGAAACTAGTTCCATAGTATCTATGCTCGAGCACGACGGCAATGCCATGTGTATGTTGTGCCAGCTGGTGCAGCAGTCCCTTCTGCAGAAACCCCAGACGATCTTCACCGGACGTTTCTCCAGATTGGAGCACGATGACAGGTCCACCGTCTTTATAGAATTGCGCATCAAACCAGTAGCGGAGATTGAAGCGTCCATGGACGTGTGGCTCGTAGAGGGAATCGTTGAAGAAGTGGTCAATTGGCACTGAGAGGTTGTAGGCGGGGTAGAGGAGGGAGGGATCTGTGTCGTCTCTTCGAAGCAGCTCGTGGCGTGGGAATGTTGTTCTCTAAAACCATTATTAGAATTTGAACTGCCTTGGAGGAAGGTAGGAAGCGTAACGTACCCGTACCCTGCGCTCAACAGCAGCATTTAACCGCGTTGCAGCAAACGACGCGCCAACCAGGCCAAGCAGCGCACACAATGCGCTGGGCTTGACCATGTTATAGAGCTTCCTCCTTGATTCCTGATTGAACGAGAGACTGAACCCAGCAGATTCTACAACTCGTCAGCCATTTCGTCTAATACCACCATCGTCGCATCATCGGGCCCTTGCAGCTCGTTGAACGTGAAGTGTGCCCAGCTCATTCCCGAGGCAAACAAACGCAAGGAAAGGTTTCACTCACATTATTGTCCAAGCTCACAATCCACAAATTGTTGTTCCAAGCTGCCTTCCAGCTTATATACCTCCCATCGGCGCCATCCTGAACTTACTCTGTTTGTTCCCCGCCCCCAGAAGTAGAAGGTGTGAAGTGTGTTGTGGTGCCTTGATCCGGCAGTTGGTTTATCGTTTACAGGGATCCGCGTCGGGGACCTGCTGATTCGGGACTGGGGGCCCCAGTACGTATTACTCCGTAAGCAAATTAACGCTCTGGGATCGGCAGGCCCAGCCCTGCAGGCAAGATTGGCGGAAGTTTATCTTGACCCTTGCGAGGCGCGTCCTTCGTTCTGAACATGGAGGGGATTGCGGGCGACAGACTGGACCTCGCCCGCTTCTGTAAATTCTATTTCAGAGAGCGAGCTTTCGTCAAGAGACTTGACGCTTGATGAAGACGAGGTACGGGTAAGTGGTGGGAGGAAAGCAGTGTCTCTCGGACGTGGACGCGGACGCAAGTCCTCCAGCATCTGGTCCTGCACTTCTCGGGGACGACCCAGGTACAGGGGCCACAAATGGTCTTTTTGCTGGGTGACAAATGTTCGGCCGTTAATACCACTACGTCGGACACCCGCTGGCGGTGGACTCATGAGAGGCTCTGCCCGAGCTAGCTGCGAGGAGGTTCCTCGTTGTGGTGCCATTCGGCGGAGAGGGGGAACACTAACGGAAGGAGAATTGAAAGGTCGAAGTGAGGGAATTGGCCGAGACTCTGGCGGAGGTGCTCGCATCAAGCTTCCCAGGTGTTGGATGTAACCAGCGATGCCCGTGGCAGGAGTACGAAGGGTGGCTGAAGGTGCAGGAGTGTGGCTCATACCAAGTGGTCCAGCAGAAGTTACTCGTTGGTTAGGAGGCCCCGTAAGCTCTCCGAACTCCTTACCGCGTTGCTGGGAGGGAGTCTTGTCTGCCATGGTTGCAAGGCCAGTTTTGGGAATGTCGAAGCTAAAGTTGATGTCCTGGTTTTGTGGATTGATCTCCGTTGTGTCGACGGTCGAGGTACCAAATACCTTGAGATTGGTGGTGTTGAGGTTGGGCTAGGAGCCTGCGACAACGAAGTTCCTCTTGAGAGCTGAGAATGCGAAGTCTCTTGTGATGGCACTCAAGAAGGGAAGAGTTTGGTGTTGGCGTGCAGGGAAAGAAAAATCGATGGCGACCCTAGATCGCCATCGGCTCCGAGTCGGGTTGTTGACATTGCCTTAGCGCGAATCTGAAATTTTATTGGCCTCTTCAAGCAGCAATTGAGACTCCGATACAGGCGGGGCCGTTAGATGGGAAATCAGTCCTTCCTTTTGGAAACACCGAGCCGGTGCAGGCAAGACATCCTCAATCCTCATAAGCATAAAGAGAAGTCTGTTTAAAACGTCTGAGAAGTTGGAATGGCACCTCGCAAGAGAATTTGTATTTCTCCCCTAAGTTGATCTATCACTATTACACTGACTCTACATTGCAACTTGTTCGGAAGTACACAAATAGCTGGCAAGTGCAGTAGCAAAACCACAGGGATTCCTTGCAACGCGTACGACGCTTTGGCTCTCAGTGTTGACAATGCATTGAAAGTTCCTTTTCGGCTCAACCTATCAATACCATCGTTCTACCCATCTTGACAGATTTACTTGCTACAAAGGTAGATCCTTTGCCGTAAGAACGTTAAGTCCTGGTAAAATCGTGTCACTAGGTCGCTTATCAACATTCCGTTTTGGGAATCTCCCTGGAGATGGCAGCATTTACTTCTCTTGAGCCTTCTGCTGCACAAAAAGACGAGAAGTGCTCTGGCGATGGGTATTTGTGGCTTGGTTTCACCAGGGTATGTAGATTGAAGTACTCCAAGCTCATCAAAATTCGATCGTTATAAGGCCTTTTCGAAACTTCTGCTTATTATATCATACCGCGTCAGATTTTTTCTGTACTCACTCTTGATCAGCTAAGAAAATACATTAAATAAGCGGGTAAGTAGCAAGAGAGCAGTTACGCACACGAGCCGTAGGCAGTTCGAGTTTTCAGCCAGTGAAGAAGCTGGGTTGTGGCGCAAGGGTCGGGGGAATTGAGTCGCTAGATTTCCAGACGAAGTTCAAGAGGCTAGTAGAAGGTTAGTGTTAGCCCAAAAACACAAGAGCAGATAAGAATGTTCAAGTGGTGGGAGGATGAAGGCTCGCGAGTCATCGAGGTTGACCTCGTCGAGGCAGGAGTGCGAGACAATATTCTAATTTGGGGAAGAGGCGGAAGACTGGTCCGGTGCTCGTAGCATCTCAGTCACTTTGTGCTTCAATGTTGGATTTGTCATTCATGCGGAGGCCAGTTTGAAGTTTTGTCTCCGGGCATAATAGTCTTTCCGGCTTTTTTTCCTCCCAATCTCGTGCTGAGCAGCGAAGGGCAGAAACGCAGCCGGAAAAGAAGGGTTTACTATATATCAAAATCACAAAAATTAGCCTTCGTATGAGAGGGGGCTAGAGGAAGCATCTCTTTGCACAAAAACACTCTACTAGGGCATCCCTAATGGATGTCTTCGTCGTGCTGAGGTTGTAGTCTCCACCATTTATCCTTGCGTCCAGATCCTCCAACGGCTTCACTTTAAGCAGTATAATGCTGGCCCCGTAGGTGTCCTCCAGCCCTTCACACCACTCTGTTCCCAGTAGAGGTGTTTCTTCCCAATTCCTGCCTTCGTCCTCTTCTTGGACTATTTTGGTATTCGTGTCCTAGCTCGAGATCGGTTGCTTCGTTGTCTGCAGCACCATCATTCCGGTTCTCGAGAACGACTACCAGACTTGCTGGGAGGGAAGTTGTCAACTTTTCTGGGGAGTGGGGACACGGAAAGCTTGGGTGATGGGCAAGGTGCAGACTCCTTCGAGCAACCCTCTCGCCCAACTTTGCGGCAGGCCATTTTGGCTTCTTTGTATAACCTGAGGAAAACATCGAGAAGAATAAGAGGTAGGAGGGTACGATTAGCGCTGGGAGGAGGCGCAATGAGGACGAGGCATATTGGGTTGGTTGGCTGGGATTAAGGCCTGCACTTCGAGTCAGGTTCTTCTTGCGAATGTACACAGTGATTCGGGAAACTTACTAGATTTCGCCCATCCTTAGTCTCTGGAGTTTGACCAGGGACCTTGTTTGCGAAACTGCTGACGCGGTTGCCAAAGTCTTTCTAGTTGCCAAAAGCACAGATATCTTCACGGAGACTGCGAGGCTGATTTATTTCATCTAGACAGAAAAGCCATGGAAGTCGGATTCCGCCGAGGAATATGTAACTACTTGTCTGCCGAATGAAACGGCCGTGAATATGAGCCGAGAAGCCCCTTTATCGAAGGGGTTCGAGCGTTACTCTGGGTGGCGAAGTCGAATAAGAGGATTCATTTAAGTTTCAGGCGGCTATTAGTTAAGAAGAACAGATATTGATTTGTTGGACGCTGTTTCAGAATAAGTAGGAAGCCCAAAACTACTACGATTAGATATTCTCATGAAAGAGACTGCAGTAGCTTGTAGTTCGTGTCCTGCGTCAATCGTACTCAGTAGTGATGCTTCGAAGCTGGCGGAGAGGAGGGGGGGGAGTAATGCTGGTTTGGTTTTGTGGTGATCTAAGGGCGAGGAAGAGGGGCACAACTTACGATGACGGTCCCTTGATGCAGAGGATGCAAAAGACTCGAGATGCTTCCGCTACCTTCATGGTAGTTAGTTCGGACACTGTGGTTGTGCTGGAAGTGATTGTATGGAGAATGATTGTGCAGCAGGGGAAAGTGGAGGACTTGTGGAAATGGACAAGATTCCAGTCAAGAAGCTCGGAGGAATTTTAAACGTCGAAAAGGGGAAGATACTCACTGCAGTTGTGTTTCCAGGTCCCAATGTACATTGTTGTTGTGAAAAGAAGCAACCAATATGCTAGATGCATCACTGCAGAGAGATTGTCACCAGAACGGCAGTTGGCCTCTGGCATCTTCCTTCGTACGCGAACCTCGACCCGATTGAAGAGCATTCGCAGACTCTTTGCCCTACCGTGTCTCTTTGAGCCAGTATGTAGATTGGAACAGTATCAATGACCGATGTCGGAGTAGCATTCGGTGTAGAGGCTTTTCTGCAGGGCCTTTGTAAGAACGGAAACGGGAGGAGAGAGGGTCTGTCAGAAATGTTCCGTCAGTAAGATTGATTGCAAGTGACAATAGATGCAGTCTTCAAGAAGGGCTGACCCGGGATGGGAAACACATACTAGTTATTCAAATCGTTATTGCCTTGGCAGCTGCAGCAAGATTAGCCCCAGCGCTTCCTCCTCGCGGAAGCGATGCGTCTATAACTATCGAATTCTTGACCTAGGTCGTACGAGGCGTGGTGCTCGAGGTGCAAGAGTAAGGCCCGAGGAGCTTTGGTGTTGGCCTGTATTGTAATGGAAGAAAGAATTGTTGGGATGGTGCGGAGCTCTGGCGCGCTGTTGAATTAAGCAGAATTGCCTGTAACAGCTCAAGCATGGGTTCACTGACTTCGATGTGAAAGGAGACATATAAAAAAGGTTGGCTAGGTCATTTAAAATCACGTCTTGACAAATTGGCATACAAAGACGAGTTCTGACAGAAAAAAAAATCCGGAACGACACTGTCAACAAATAGCCTTCGCTTCGAGAGAACCCCTTTCGAGGCACGGGATCACTTCGACACTTTACCAGAGCCTCATGCTGTCTGCCAAATTCAGAGAGTGGTTATTATGCTTCTTCTTCCCAAGCAAATAATCAAGAATGTGGACATCAGATACAATTGCTGTATGGATTATCTCTGGCCCTGTTGTGAAGATCACGTGATTCTCGCATGAACTCCGCAAGACGCAAATATCCACCCCGACAGTTTTCTAGAAACTCGCAACTTCACAACCTCTCAGACTTGAAAATTTCAACACCATCAGTTCAGTCCATTCTTGTCAAGCTCAAGGCAGAACACCAAACAATGGCTCAACATGCCGAAAATGTCTTCACCTCCAGCTGGATAGAACCAGAACCTTCCTCAACCTCAATGTCTCAAGTCGATACCGATGAGCAAAGTTCAAGCCAATCTCAGACCCAAAGCTCTGAGTCTGACAGCATGTCAGAGTACAGACCACCATGGAAGTGCTGCAGACCTCCCCAAAGCTTTCTTGAGCTATGGAAAAAGTCTCACCAAACAGTAAGTCAAAGCGCCTTTCACTTTCATGGAAACGCTAGGTTGTTAACGACGTCACAGACCTGGTACGAGCAATCAATTACAGTCTGTACTGCCGCTTCCAGCAACGGAAAACCTTGCAATCACAAGAAGTGTGACGACTGCCCATACTGGTCAATCGAATTGGGTGAAAAGAAGGCCAAGGAGTTGAATGCGGCAGAGAGGGAGAGGGAGCAAAGAATATGGATACCATGGAGACCAAAAAAGAAGTAGTGGCAGCAGCGGTGGTCATTCAGGAGAAAGAATGGAGGGAGCTCATGAACTGGGAGGTTCGATGTTAGGATACAAGTGATTGCAAATGGTCACAACAGGGTTTCTCAAGCAGACTTCAAGATTAATTCTGCATTGAAAGATCGTAAAGGCAGAAAGAACAAGATATGTTCAATAGAGCCCCTCAATATGACAGTAAACGAAACCAGGATGACTCTTTCGTGCTTTCAATCCTTTCTCTTTCACAGTACATGAATTGAATACCTGTGTGCACACACACTTTGAGGAGTTAACAGAGGGAACAAAGCACGTTTCTTCACGTACATCCAATACGCCAAAGTGACATACGACTGGCACCCCTTCGTGGAGCCGGAAAGTTCTGTCGCCTCTGAGAAAATTCACGCAAATACTTTAATACTTTTGCTCCTTCAAACCAGGCCATCACACAACACCTTCTCAACACCAACATGAACCAACACAACCAACGAGCAACCATGGCATCACCTGGCTTGTTTACCTCTACTAAAGCCATACGCTCTTGGTTTGCAACAAAGATGGCTCCATTGGAGATACAAACCTACGCCCTTCAGCGCTGCACCGACTGCACTCCTTCCATCAACCCATGCCCTACCTGTCAACGCAAGCACGAAATCATTGCTCAAGACCTCGATACATTGAAGCAGCTTGAGTGGAGAGAGATCGAGTTGTTCAAGCATGAGAAGCATCACGGTTTTCCTGTCTTCCAGCAATTGTACGAGAAGGAGCTGGCGAGGATTAAGGGAGAGCTGGAGGGCTTGGAAGAGATCGATACTCTCGCGAAGCACTTTCAGCAGAGTGAGATTGGTGGCTTGGCAAAGATGGAGATACAAGAGAAGCAGGTTGAGGAAAAGAGAATTGAGTGTCAGGAGAAAGGAGCTGTCGCTCTGGAGATGGGAGTTGACGCTATTGAGAAGGGATTTGATGCTCTGGAAAAGGGAGTTCTTGATCTTGAGAAGGAAGTTGTTGTTCTGGAGAAGGAGGTTGATGTTCTGGCCGACGGCGTTGGAGCTGTAGGCATGGAGTGGGACAAGTTGGTAGAGAAATTAGAGGATTTGGACAGGTGGTTTGATATGGAGGACGATATCATGAAGGCGAAGGGTTGGATTTGAGGCATAAGAAACACAGCAATCGAGCGGACTCGATGAGAACAACATTCGATCTCGAGCGCACACAGATACAAGTCAGACAATCAATCAAGATACTGCATCACCTCTTTTGCTATTCCGAGCCCTTGCTGTGACTTTGATTCCTTGCCACGCTGGATGTGAATAACTATCAAATCAAATCAAATTGCTTCCTTGCCGCCATCGATCTACCTTTTCCTTGTAAGATTACAACCCGCTGCTGCTGCTGCGCCATATCACATATGTAAGACGATGAGTCTGTTAGCAGTTGCATATATACTGACCAATAATCCGTGGAAGTATGTCGAGACCGGATTAATATAGAACCAACAACACGAAGGCACGGGTTCTGCATACAAGCAGTGGTCAATTTCGAGGATCGAGGGGGCCTCAAGCTCAAGGCAGACAATTCCATTCTCAGCAGACATCCCTCTGAAATCGCCCTTTTCAACGCACGTTCCTTTCGCCATTCCTTTCGCCCATTCCAGTTGCACCAGAAGAGCCGGGTTGGTCACCACGGACTTGATAAAACCTAGAAGAATCAGGGATGGGTTCATTGCACTACCTGCTGGGACTCTGCTCCCACACATCGAGCGCTCGCAGTATCTTGAACAACCGCGGTAACTTGCACGCTGACAACAAAGTTCACCCTTCTCCCCTTCTCTTCTTTTCGAATATTGTAAGCTAACGCTAAATTGGCAGGCATACCAGCTTCTCTGCACCATGTCAGGAAGAGCTACGAGCAGCTAGAAACAGCTAGAAGAGTACAAGGTCATATTTGCAGCTAGGCAAGTCTTACTTGAGGCTTAGGGAAGGAACAAAAGACAAAAAGAGCAAGCGAATTGAATATAATCGGTCTAAACGGGAGAGGGGGGAAGTTGCCAATCCAGCCTACTTGGAGTCTCAAAAGAGAGCATACCGAAGATCACTCCTAACGCTTCGTCACCTATACCCACTCCTACCTACTCGCCATATTATCGACTCTACGGTAGTGGTAAAGATATGGGCAATAGCTTCGAGCGCTGAAGAATGGCAGGGACATAAACAATGACCCCGAAATGCTCGACTTAATACTACCACTGTCTGGAGCATCCTCAGGAGATCTGTAGTCACAGCGAAGGCACTAAGTTCTCCAGTCTAAAAGTTATTTCCAGGACAATATATGCAGGGTATCAACAGCAGCCTTCGCCTAATGGACCTGTAAGCCGTCCTAGAGGGCAGACACTTCTAGTGGAAGAAAGAAAGGGGATACATGGGATCAGAAGGGGGGAGTAAAAGGCTTTGTCTTCACATTCTTGTCACAATTAATACGCTGTAGACCCGCAGAACGATAGCTCTCAAGGAAATTTCCATTTCAATTTTCTCAAGGTATCTCGCGAGTTTCAGTGCAGTAATACCTGAGCATGGTAAACCCTATCCGCAATCAACTAACCACTAACTTAAGGCCCAAGCAGCACCTAATTGCGTTCCATGTACGCTAATTAAGCAGTGTCAGACTCCATCCTCTCGACAGCGTTGCCTTTGCCCAACTCAGGTAAATGCTCAACTTCCGCAACATCGACGGCGTGGTCAATATCCATCTTGGTAGACTCGGATTGAACGCCTTCGATAATTTCTCCCTCCTCAATCTCGGTTGACTCGGCCTTTTCGCTCTCCGAAGCGGCTCTATTCACAACCTCAGTAGTCTCGAAATTGTCCTCAAAGCCGCAGCCACCCTCCTCCATCTCAGCAGCCTTGAACTTAATACCATCGAAAGCGTCGCCGTTTTGTTTCTTCTCACGCTCCATCTCCTTGTGCTTCTCCTTGAGGCTAGTTAGGGCATGACTAACCATCTTCTCCAATTTGTCCTTTCCGACTTTCCGAGCCTCCATCTCGGAGAGCAACATCTTCAACAGCTTAACACCAATGGTCTGGACCTTGTCGCCGTCCGGTTGAGGCCAGCGCTTCATCTTGCGATCCAAACGAGCCTTGAAGAGCTTGCACAAGGCGCGTTCCGAAGACCAGGCCTTGAGCACGATGACTTCGCCGGAAGAGGTTGTCACGGTTTCGACTTCGTCGTCCAATGACTGTTGGAGAGTTAGATTAGTTATTAGTAGGAGCGCAGAGGAAGTGGTATACTACGGTAACCAAGATAAAGCACTCATCAACGAGGTCCTTGTACATGGTGTACAGGATGGATTTGTCGGCCGCTGGGAGAACGGGTACCTCCTGGGAGCGCGTGTTAGTCTGGAGCCGTAACGCGTTCGAGGAGAAGGTAGAGAGACTTGCCTTGCGTCGAATCATGTCAATGAAAGCTCTAGCTTCTGCCATGTTGCTCGAGGTCTCACCCGTCATTTTGATGGAACTTGATTGCATTGTTTTCTGACGGGGCGAGAGGATTGGGGAAGCGGGACAGTTGATTGTTTTAGAGATCAAGGGCGAGTGTGGGATCCGTGGGATTTTTTTAAGCAATTTTAATCAGGAAGTGAATGATTTCTATTCTACCATAAAGCGAACCCAATGCAACCTTATCAATCTCATGGTGTGTGTGCTTAGTGGCGCTGTCTTTGCTGGTCAGGTGCCTTTGCCGAGACACAACCGCAGACCAACACTTCTCAATTATGTGCGAACGCAGGAATGAAATCCGAATGTCTCTTGCTCTAGGGTATTCAATGAAGTTTGATTTCCTTATTCTTTGGGTAGATTTCCATTTTTAAAATTATGCGACAAGCAGGCAGCCCCAGACTGGCATGCGAAGCGACAAGCACAGACGACAACTCTCTAGTCAGTTCAAACCAGTGAAAAAAATTGTAAAAGAGCATAATCCGGACATTCGACTCTTGTTATTTACGTGGGTAATTATGTTCATTAACTGCGCTTCATGTTTGCATATCTGGCCAGGTTACATCGAAGATTGGGCATAACACACTTAAATCAAAGTCGAAGCAAGCGGTAGAGAGTACAGTTCCTCAGTGACGGAAATTTCCAGAAACCAGTCCCGCTTTAGCCTTCTGCTTTATTCCTCCTTCATGTCCTCGGCAAGTTTCTCCACGTCCTCCCACTTTCCCCCGATTTTGAAATCCTAGTGCTTCAACCAAAATGCAACCCGACTTCACCGCAAGGAATTCAAGTTTTACATAAGAGGTATCAGCAGCAGCAAAATGGCCGAATCCATTGCTGGGAATTTGTTGACAAAGATCCGAAACGAGGCATGTAACACTGCGTAAAGGTATAACGTTCTCAGGAGGTAGCTGATAAAATTGACTCTCTATCTAGTCAGACCCAATGCTCTCCCCACGGGACTCGGCACTCGCTCACTTCCAATACGCGTATGTTGTCGAAAGCGTGTACTACTGGATCAGGGCCAGCCTTTCCTCTCTCATCCTCGATCGATCTTCTTCCAGTGTCGACACCTTCATATCCTCTCTGAGTTTGCGACAAGCCGCTCTAACCAAAACAGACCGACTATTCCACATCTCTACAAAACGCCGCACACTTCCTGCCCCAAGCAAACAACTACTTGAAGGCCATCGAAGGCAAAGTTATGGCTGTTGCGTCACAGTCGCCAAGTTGTTGCATGAACTGGGACAAATGGGGATTTCTGATGAAGAAATGGAAATGGTAGTTTGGTGAGCTCGTCTGAGCCGCCTGGCCAGACACGAAGAGGGTTTCCTTTTAATTAAAAGCAGTGTGTGCCCCTACAGCGGATATGTGACACTGCAATTGAAGACTGGTGAGACGATTAGGCATCCTACGCTGTGGAAACTTGGAGACAGAGGCAGCGATTCTCGTCGCATTATTTGGCAAACATGGCCATGATGATGGGAACTACGTCCAGGTTGCTCGAGAAATTATTTAACCAAAGCTATTAATAAATCTCTTTTAAATTCTGCTCTTTAGTCTCCCATTTACACTTCATCCAGACCTCTTTGCCACATTCCTCCTCGTCAGTTTGGTGGAGAATGGGAATCCTCTCATAAAAGGGCTTGGGAGCCTCTCGAAGCAAACATGAACTATACAGGTGGCCGTGGCGTGCGATGAGTGCCTGTTCCCCCGATCCGAGTACTTCCCATCTCCCTCGAACTCCTCTATCTTCTTTCCTTTCTCCTTATCGGATAGACTTTGCCTCAGAAGAGAATAACCTGCCAACAGAAAACGACACGTAGTATTTCTCATCTCTTATCATTCGACAAGGAAGTTTTGTTGTCGGGAAACCCGCCGTGAAGAGTTAAGCTCACACAATCAAGATTGCAAGTAGGAGTCCTCGGTACTAAAGCAAATCAGGCAAGCTAAAGTGACAGTGATATCTGATCATCTGAGGCTCGATCGAGGACTACTGTCATGCTGAAACCCGTTCAGGTGGAACACATGGAGCCCCAAGCCAATACCTTCGAACATCCCATAGCTTCAAAGACAAAGATCTACCAAACGTTACCTAGCTGCTCTCGAGATAGTTGTTCGTATGGGCGGGAGGCACGAAGATTGCGGCATAAAGTGACGGGATTACAGGTGCATGCATAAATATAGGGCCACTAATAGAGCCTGTAGTGTCTCACCGAGCCCTGCAAGCCCTATAATTAGTCTGAATCAGAGGCGTAAGGCCCCTGAAGCCCACTGAAACCATATATAGCCCGATTAGGAGGCTACATTAAGCCAAGGCTTTATATAGGCCCTTAGCCCCTGTATTTATAGGCCTGCGTCCGCAATCGGTAGCGGGGTAAAGTAAGCTTTACCCCCACCACTCACTCTCTTCTTTACTCTCACTTCCCATATAAAAGCTAGTACTTATAGCTACTTTTGGCGGTTTATTTGACTTTCTAGACTTATTAGATAGCCAATCAGGGCTTTCCTTCCCTCCTGATTCTAACGAATCGGAATATAGTAAAGCTATAGAAGATAAAGAGAATACTTGATATAACTTACCGTCAGATTCGGAAAATAAAGACAATAACTCAATTATACCAAGCTTTATACTCCCTCTTTATTCTCCTCCTAGTACCTCTATAGCCTTTATTATACCTGAGATTATATATAAAGAGTATTTAACTAGTATAAGAATTAAGACTATTTATATACTTGAGTAAAGAATATCTATAGGCAATATTAAGAAAGCTATAGGAGTATCTAGAACCCGTATTTATAAGCTTGCAAGCTTTATTAGGTAATACAAACAGAAAGTAAATAAGAATATACTTTTAGAAATATATTATATTCTTAATTAATCCCGATCTGGCCGGCTAATAATCTCATTTATTATAATTAAGTATGTTTTATAAGTTATATTTCAAAATTCGACTATATAAAGCTTTTCTTATAATATAATTATAAAAGAAATCAGAAAAAATAATTATAAGATAGCTATATAGACAGTTTGAAAAGTTTTTATTATAGCTAGCTATTCTTAATATAAACTAATAATAAAGCCTAACTTGAATAGATTTAGTAAAAAGAAGTAGCTAGATTAATATTTAGTATATAAGAATTAGAAACTTGAAAACTAGAAAACGCTATTTTTTTTTAGATAGAATAGTAGTTTAATTAGGGAATATAAGAGGAAAAAGAAGGATATAGAGGCTTCTAGAAGAAGTATATAATAAATATTATATTAGAAAATACTAGAAGAGCTTCTTTGAATTTATATTTTAGAGATATTTCTTATATAATAAAAGAAAGCTATATTATATATTACGAGACCGGGATTCTAGGCTTAAAAAATAAGGTAAAGTAACTCTATTCCGAGAATTCTAAACTAAAAAAAGAAGCTTATAAGTATAATTAGGTGGGAAAAGTCATTGTTCTATAATAATTTGAGACTACTTACTTCTTTTATTATAACTTTACTAAATTCTAATCAAATTTGCTTATTTTTAAACGAAATAAAGGCCTTTAATATTTGCTTATATTAATTCAACTAATTATATATATTAACTTTCAAATTAATAATAAACTATAAAGATTTATAAAAGTATTATAAAAATAAAAGACTTATTTTTAAACTATTATTACTTTTAATTATATTAATAATATTCTCTAAAACTAAAATTTATTATTATTTATGGTATTTTAAAGCCTATTTATAAGTTATATATAATAATTATAATATATTATTATATTATCAAGATATTAATTTATAGATTTTCGAGAAAATAAGCGAAAATAAGCGAAAATAAACGAAAATCATAACTTTTAGATTTTAATAACTTTATATTTATAAGCTATAATTGTGTAAAATTTGGCGACCTTATTTATAATTACTATAAATTAAATATATTAAAGTTTTAAAGATTTATAATTAGTAAATAATAAGTATAATAAAACTAAAATTTAAGAAATTTTGTATAATTTTTAAATTAATATTAATATATTATTAATAAAATAAAATAAGTCTCTTATATTATATTATTTATATATCTAAGCTCTTAATATTAGATTTTTAAACCGAATATTAATAGATATATTATATAAAAAGTCATAAGTTTTTAAATATCTTTAGAGCTAAAGTCACGTGACGAATACTTAGCCCACCTGATTATACAAGAGCTTAGTATTCTAAATACTAGCTAGCTATATATATTATTATAATTATATAATACTAAATTTGCTAGTAAAGTAGTAAAATATAATACTATATATAGGAAAAAGAAAATATTATAGTAAAAAAAGACAAAAAGGCTAATTTGAATATAAGGAACTCTTTAATTAAGAAAATAAATAAATAAAAATAGAAGAAATAATAAAGGAAATAGCTAAGGAAATAGCTAAGGAAATAGCTAAGGAAATAGATAAAAGTATATAAAAGAAAGCTTAGTAAAGTAAGAAAAATATAGAAATATAATAAGTAAATTAGAGCTTTTATAATAAAGAATAAATATAGAGAAATTAATTAGTACTATTATTAAAAGAAGATCTTAATTATAAAGCGCTTATCTTTTATAAATAAATACTAAAAGAACCGTCCCAAAATAATTATTTAGAAAGATAATACTCTAGCTTATAAATCTTATTATTAATAAGAGATTTATAATTTCTAGAAAATTATGAAAATATTATAGCCAAGTAACTTACCTAACTTGAATACTATTAAGTCTTTATAGTATTATATAAAGAGGGAAACCATAAAGCGAGGGCCTATTAGTAATAATAAGAAGCTCAGAGTAAGGTAAAAAAATATTAGAAGGGTATTCTGTAAGTGAATATTCAAGAGTGGATTAAGGTAATTCCATATTATATAAAGGAGATAATTAGATTGGAAGGTGGAAATAAATATAAGGAAGAACGAAAAAAGGGGCAGGAGAAAGTAGTAGTTTATAGCTAGAATATATCTTCATTTATTACCAATTTAGTCAGCTGATTTAGCCCCCCTGAAACGTTCATTAATTAAGCGAAATACCCTTCAGGGGGCAAGTAAGACCTTACAGGGCTATTTAGTGAACTGCATATAATTATGCCCTGTAATCCCGCCACTTTATGCCGCAATCTTCGTACCTGTGGATAGACGACCTGTGTATCCTCCTAGACGACGAGTGAGGCAAACTGGAAAAAATGTCCAACATGGATCAGATATATAGCGCTGCTGTGCTGACTATTGCCCCCCGCAAATGCATGCTGCACCGATCGTGATCTGCCGGGCGTCCGACCAAATACGCGTCAATCGGTCCAACATAGCGAGGTCATCCAAGATGTCCATTATGTCACGACACAGACGCACCTTGTATCTGTCATACGAGATATGAGATGGCCTACTCGTGGATAGAGGTATCAAAAAGGATTTCCGTCCTCCCATTGCCTTGTTCTTACTCCATACCAGGCATGCCTCCAGTGCAAGTCCAAGATTTATTGTGAAGACTGTGCTTGGATTGGTCGATAACGAATGGAATTCCGAACTCCCCATAACTGGGAATGCCCTCTACCATATGCGCGGTTATCCTGTGTGGCTCGCCCTATGTGACTTCCGTCAATATATCAATGCCGTCGAGGTATTTTCGAGGGGAGACTTTAGAGTGGAGACGGATGCACTTTGGGCATTCTCGGAGTCACGAAAGCATTTCGGCCCCTGTTTCCGCATGGGTTCATTTGGGCACTGCCCGTTGATAACCTCGATGCGGCCTTGCTATGGTGGCCAGTCTGGACTTCGGAAGGGCCGCGAAAATGAAATCTGCTCCCAGGCTGTTTTCTATCTTTGGAAGTTTGCCCGGTGTTCGATCATTAGTGCAATAGGGGAAACCGCAGCCTCTGTTTGGGTGTCGGAAGCTTGGCTTGCCGCGCATGAGAGTGGCCCATGCAAGTCTATATTGCTATCCGCTTGTTTTAAAGAGGATGAAATCGAGATCTGTCAGAGGATTCTGAGACATGATCCCAACGATTTGGGTCAAATGATTTCCATCGGCATTACGCACAACTTTAAAGACAGCTCGATATAGGCGAAACAAACTCAAAAGCTTATTGTACTAAGTCAAAACGACCAATCTTGTACTCAAAAGCTAGGAAGGGGTCTTAAAGGTGAAGGGAGAAAAAAAAAGAGGCTGCTCACTTGAGCAAGCTGTCGAGGCCATTGTGTGTCTGTGCTAAACGAGGGAAGAGATGAAGGAATATCTGACTTCCTTCTTTTTTTCTTGGTTTTTTCTTAGTTTGTGTGTAGATCTTGCAAGAGCTAGTCGGCGTCCCTTTCACTCTCACGGGCTGATTTCAGCTGGGCACTGAGGCCTCTGGCTGGCTGGTGGGCTGATGAGCATCACCACTGTGATGCGACGCTGTAGATGCGTGAAGACGACATACTGTTCGAATTGCTGGCATTTGCTGCATGTTGCAGAGATGCTGCTTTGGGACGTTTTTCGGCGATTTTGAGCATGCTGAGTGAGTGGCATTGCCTACTCATTGCGTGTTTTCTGGGAACTGTTAGTTACGACAAATTGACCGATGAAAGCGACAGAATCAAGGCCTCGACAATTGCGCCATGATAATTTTGTAAAAAGAAGTTTATTTTGATATATAAGGCTTGCGTTGCAACTTGCTTGAATGGCCTCACTTCTTTCGCTTCAACTTATAAGGATCATGTAAAGGAATGAAATCAAGTTGATTTGCTTGACAACACTGAGAGCTTGACATTATAATGATCTATAATCAGATTGCGGAATTGTTTGAGAATAAATTAACGCTCTGAATAGCCCTTACAACACGAAGTATAAAGGAACTAATCGGTAACTTTGAGAAAGGGGGGGGTTAGGGGGGGACGATCGCTCACTTAAAAGCAGGCTGTCGAGGTCATGGTCACTTGTGATAATTGCAGGAGGAAGAGGCGTTTAAGTTACTTTCTAGTTTTTGGGGGGTCTAAGATTCATATTCTTGGGATTTTTTCGTTGTTCGTATTTGTTTCTCGCAGAGGCAAGCGGCTCGCACAGCTGTAAGTTCATATCGAGTGCGGCTCTCACAGGGGGCGATTTGTCTCTATAGCTAGTGTGAGTTTCAGCAGATACAGTCATATCGAAACGCGCTGTTTACAGACCAAAGTGGTCACAATGACCTGCGATTGGTGTTTTGCTGAAAAGTATCCCTACCTGCATTGATATAACGCGGACCCTTTTTCCCGTTTGGCTTCGGCAGCCTGCAGTTTGCTCTGTCAGGAGGATTCTGAAGGAAGAAGACGTTGGAAGTTGAAAACCCAGCACAAATTATGCCCGGACTGAGGTAGAAAAGAACCTGCAATATGTGCATTCTTTTTGGCCTTCTCCCCACTGGTAATGTATAAAGGTAAACAATCAGAAGGGCTGACGTCAACACGGCGGAAAGGGGGCCTCGCTTGTGGCAATAGCGGCCGGGAAATGATCCTCCGACGAAAAGAGCTGCACCTCGCCCATCAACAACTCTTCTACCACTACCACATCCTCAACGGCATCGAACAGACGACCGCAACCAGGAGAGGGAGATTCAACAGACGGCAACGAGTGTCTAATCGGTAGTCAAAATTGGCTTGACAGCACATAAACCACGAACAGGGCTCTCAAACGCGTCGCATCGAATAGCTTGGTAGTCGAATCTCCTCCGAATCGAACATCAACTGAATGCGCCGTCACTGCGCGGCAGACTCTCGTGATAAAACATGCGGGGGACTATCTGAACTCCAAAGTTAAATTGGCAGATTGACGTGGAAATGGTTAACCTAATTATGGGATCCATCGGCGGCCGAACAATTGACCACCGGATACATGATCGTGGGATCTTTGGCAGGTGCTGGAGCAACAATGTGCCCGGATGGACATTCCTTTTTCAGACAGCTTCCCCAAGCTTTTGAATGATATCTAGAATTCGGCCTGAAGCTCCACAGCAGAACGTATCAACGTGAGCCTCTATTCGCCATCTTCGAAAGCTTGATGCAGCGTGACAGTGGCGGGGCAAGGGTACCAGCAACTTCATGGCAAAGATTGACTTTGTGTGTAAGAGATACCCATTACCGAACGGTAGCAGTCTGGCAGATGATATGAGGGATTTTTCAACTCCTCCCAAGCGGTCAAGGTTCATTTCGCCATAAGCTTGTTCTGAGGGGAAATGTGGAGTTGATACCAGCCGCAGCAGGCGATTGGTGATGCACTGATGAGGGATTTTCTGCAATCGCACTCGATTGCCGCCGTAACATCTGTCCCACCTGACCCCAGAAGAAGCCATGCCAATATCAAACGCTACAAACCGAAGGAGGCGCAGCTTGAGGCCAAGGATCAGGGCGGTGGAACAGTAACGTTACGCGCAATTTTGTAAAGCAGTTGAGTCTTTACGTGTCGTAAAATATTTTTTTCGTTACTGCATGTGCGTTCTTGGGGGGGGGGGGGGGGGGTTGTGCGGGCTATTTAGTGCCTTCCAGGACCACGAAGTACTGATTTCAGGGCTCCGGGTGGCTCTCGGGGTTTTCAGGCTTTCCAGGCCTTCTTGGCCTCTAAATTGGGGTTTCTAGTATATTTCTGGCTTAGCTCTCCTCTGCTCTTTACTAAAACTGGTTAGTACGCCACATGTCTATACTCTAAGCTGTAATACCCTCCATGTCACACACGAGCAGTAAACGAACATTTACTTTTTGATTACTGTAAAGTAGCCACTCTACGAATGATTGACCCCATTTTTCTGGCAGCGACGCAGGAGCAATCACCGAAATTGCATCGTTTTCTGTTCCTGCAAATCGGAGACGAGTTACAATGGACCCCTTGTCGATCAGTACCTCCCGCACAGGACTTCGGCCAATCTGGAAAATGTGTAAAGGTGATAAATCTTGCTTATTTCGGCTTGGTATATTCTCCTTTGCTGAGGGATTTATCCCAACATTCAGCTCGTCATGCATGAGCTGCCTTTGATCGCTATGTCGAACAAAGTGGTGGGCCCATGGAAAATTTCTTAAGCGTTTTGAATTTTAATAAAGACCTTCCCCTTGCGTTGCCAGTTGTTTCGAGTTCATATTTGAAGGAAAGCTGGTACTGTTCTTCGGAGCATCCAGCAGATCTTCGCCCTTCAACCTTCAACCTTCAACCTTCATCGCACATCTGTTCGAGCTCATTTAGATCAGAAGCTGTCTTACTCGATTCTGACTCCCACACTGTTGTGTTGCAGTTGTTAAAATGGTAGAATTCAGCGAAGAGAAGCAAAAGGCTTCTCGCATTCAATGGACAGATGCGGATGTTGAGGCAGCCGAAGCAAGGCCACGCGCACCTCTTCACCGTTCGAACTCGAACATCTCAATCAACAGCGTTCACAGTCGACGCGGTTCTATCGATCCAGCTTCAGCACTTCCAATTCAATATCGAACGGTCTCGTATCAAATTGCTGAATCGAAGGAAAAGAGCGCTGCGGAAGTCCAGAAAGTTAAGCACTCAGCGGCAAAAGGTACGCAAGACATGACCCATCTTCCAGTCAGCTACTCACACGCGCCAGAATTTGGAAATCTAGATTGGCACACCATTGCTCCCAACGAAATATATACTCGACTTTCCACCTCTCCACAACAAGGTCTCTCCACAGAACAGGCAAAGCGACGACTCACAGAATACGGCAAAAACACACCATCGCCTCCGCCCACTCACTATTTCCAGCAAATATTTGGATATTTCTTCAGAGGTTTCGGGTCGATCTTGCTTGTGGGTTCCATCCTCGTCTTCGTATCATGGAAGCCTCTCGGCCAGCCGCCGGCCCAGGCAAATCTGGCACTCGCCATCGTTTTACTTGCGGTTTTCTTCATCCAAGCAGCTTTCAATGCATGGCAAGACTGGTCGTCCTCTCGAGTTATGGCATCCATCACCACAATGCTTCCCGATAGCTGTCTGCTCTTGCGCGATGGCGCGCCAGTAACCGTCATTGCTAGTGATATCGTTCCTGGAGACTTCCTCTACATCAAGGCAGGAAACAAGCTTCCGGCTGATGTCCGTTTTATTGATGTATCCTCGGATGCGAAGTTAGACCGATCCATTCTGACTGGTGAGTGGAAAAGAACAATACATTGAGGCGTTCATTAACAAATGCTTAGGTGAATCCGCACCACTGCCCGGTACGGTTGACAGCACAGATGATAATTATCTCGAGACAAGATGTATCGGTCTCCAGGGCACCCATTGTGTCTCCGGAAGTGGCATTGGAGTTGTTGTCTCTACTGGCGATTCTACAGTCTTTGGAAAGATTGCAAAGATGACCAACGCGCCCAAAACTGGCATGACTACTCTGGAAAGAGAAGTTCTCAATTTCGTTATGATTATCTGTTCCATCATGTTGACCATGATCGTTATTGTGATTATTGTGTGGTACGGTTTAATTCCAACGCGTAAACGAAAGAGTCTGACATGTGTAGGGCCGCTTATCTACGAAAAGTGCACCCAACGTGGATCAATGTTCCAACCTTGATCGTTGATTGTGTATCAGTTGCCATTGCTTTTATTCCAGAAGGCCTTCCCATCGCACTGACAGCATCTCTCACCATTACAGCAAACCTCATGCGAAAGAACAAGATTCTCTGTAAGTCATTGAAGACTGTTGAGACTCTTGGGGCTGTGAGCGTAATTTGTTCTGACAAGACCGGCACCCTCACCAAGGTATGTTGTGCGGCTACAATAAAGACGCGTAGCTAATTCGAACAGAACAAAATGTACGTCACGGATTGCAGTATTGGCAGGCATAACATGGACCCGCAAGGCGCCAGAGATCAGATGCACCAACACGGACAGCAAGTTGAAAGTGGAAAGTCCAATGCTGTCTCCCAACTACGATTCATTGCTGGACTTTGCAACTCAGGAGAATTCGATGCCGCCACGATGAAACTTCCTCTCCATGAGCGAAAGATCAATGGCGATGCTACCGATCAGGCAATTCTTCGGTTTTCGGAATCGCTTGGGCCTGTCTCTGAACTTCGTCAAATGTGGAAGAAGACATTTGAACTTGCATTTAACAGCAAGAATAAGTATATGGTCAGAACTTTAGAGCTTGTTCAAGAGAAGGGTCTCGAGCTTGCTTTACCCTCAATGGAAGCTAGCTCATTCCGGCCTCAAGACACGTAAGACCTATTTCAATTCAGAATGATCCAGCTGCTAACATCACGCAGTCTTCTCATGATCAAAGGGGCACCTGACGTTCTGATCACTCGATGCACAAAATATACCACCATTGAAGGTGAATCGAAGGTTCTTGATAATGCCACTCGCTCCAAAATCGAAGAGATCAAGAACACTTGGTCCTCTCAAGGCCGACGTGTAATCTTGCTGGCTCGAAAGACGATCTGCAAAGAACAAATCCGAGCAATGCCAGCCTCTAGCCAATTTGAAGACGAAGTTCTCCATCACGCCAGAGAGGGGCTCACTCTTGTTGGCATTGTTGGTATCGTCGATCCTCCTCGTGATGAGATTCCATCTGTGGTCAAAATCTTGCGCGGAGCAGGCATTCGAATCTTCATGGTACGTTCTATCCTCATAAGCCATCAACTGCTCTGACCTTCCGCTAGGTCACAGGAGATTTTGCTTTGACAGCACAAGCTATTGCAACTGAATGTGGCATCATTACGAACCCACCCCATCTCGTCAAGGACATCTCGGCCCTTTCTCGAGACGACGCATACTCGATCTCCGATTCCGATCCCGAGAAAAAAGCTATAGAAGCATCACCCGATAGGCAGAAAACCTCTATCGTCTTGAGTGGTCATGAGATGATAACTCTAAATGAATACCAGTGGGAACAGCTCTGCAGATACGATGAAATAGTCTTTGCTCGGACAACGCCGGAACAGAAACTCCGCATTGTTCGCGAATTCCAGAGCAGAGATGAAATCGTCGGTATGACTGGAGATGGCGTCAATGATGCTCCTTCGCTCAAGGCCGCTGATATCGGTATCGCTCTTGGGAGTGGATCAGACATTGCTATCGAAGCTGCAGATATGGTTCTCTTGGAGTCCTTCAGTGCTGTTGTCGAGGCTGTGCAGTACGGCAGAGTCGTCTTCGACAACTTGAAGAAGACGATCGCATACCTCCTTCCAGCGGGATCTTTCTCGGAATTCTGGCCAGTGTTCACCAATGTGATTTTCGGCCTTCCTCAAGTCCTTTCATCTTTCTTGATGATTATCATATGTTGCTTCACCGACTGTGCAGCTGCGACGGTCCTCGCATATGAAGCTCCAGAGGCTGATGTTCTGCTCCGCCGTCCTCGCAAACCAAAGGTTGACAGACTAGTCGACTGGCAATTGATGTTGCAATCTTACGGCTTCATTGGTGTCATCGAAACTCTCACATCTTTTGCTATGTCTTACTGGTATCTTCAGCGTTCCGGCATACCGTTCAACGATCTTTGGTTCCGTTACGGAAGTCTGCCAGATACGATAGACCAAGACTACGCAAATGCAAGACTCGCGGAAGCATCCAGTATCTACTTCGTCAATCTGGTTGTCATGTAAGTACCTCCCTTCATTCTTTTCTTCCCATCGATCTCCCTTTCGTCCCACCGTTCTTTCTTTAAGCCCATTACTTTCCCTTTTCTCGGATATATATATCCATTTCCTCATCTCCGAAACTAAAAACTCCTAGGCAATGGTTCAACCTAATGTGCCTCCGCACCCGCCGTCTCTCCATTTTCCAACACCCGCCCGCCTTCAACAAAGCCACTCAAAACCTCTACCTCTTCCCGGCCATTGCATTCGCGCTCGTAATGGCGATCTTCTGGCTATATATCCCGCAATTGCAGAATGTGCTTAGTACGAGTAGCGTTCCTGCTGAACATTTCTTTTTGCCGGCTGCATTTGGGTTGGGTATTCTGTTTTTAGATGAGGGGAGAAAGTATGCTGTTAGGAGGTGGCCTGAGGGTGTGTTGGCTAGGTGTGCCTGGTAGGCGGGTGGAGAGGTGTGTAGTATTATCTTATAACTACATTTGTTCTATCAAGTTTCACTGTGTTTCGGGACATGAGCTGGGAGTAATGTGTTGTTAATAATTGCGATGGGAGAATATTGAAGGATAGTGCCTCTAAGAGTTAGTGGCCATCTTCGATTAGGTTATTGTAGAGGTCTTGTGTTAAGGCTTCGTCGACTGGGAAGAGCGGGAGGGTTTCCTTCATGGCTATTAGTTGGGTGGAATCCTGGAACTATTTTACAGGGTCCACGCAGTGTTCTTGATCTGCTCCAGTAAGGCCTTTTTGATCAGCAGTCCCGTTGTTGGTGCGTTTTATACAGGTTCTGTTCAGGAATGGTGAGGAGGACGAAAATTCGGCTTTGAATGAAATTGGAATTTTTAGGTGGTGTGAGAGGAAATATAAGTAAATCTGCCAAGATGAAAGGAATGATATATCAAAGTTATTTCATTTCCTAGTGATTGGAGTTTTGGTGTCCTTTGATAGTTGAAAGATATAACCATGTAGAATGATGTCTGTCAAAGAGTGTTTACATAGGCAAATACACCAGCTGAAAGTTGAGAGATGGGTAAACTACGAAGAAACTCACGTTCAAGCCGGTCTTTGCGCCTGTGCTATGAATGGAACGCCTTTTCATTTAATGTTATTTGGCTTTTTATTGTTCAGGACGTAGTTACTCAAATCGCTGAGATATTCCTCTGAGCACTACGCACGATATGTCATAGTTTGTTCCGTGTATTCGAAGCTATGAAACCTCTTCTCAGGTATTCGTCCGTCTCAATTTTCAAGTATTGTATTTGTCGGGGTTGATAAGTTTTCAGTGGCCAATTGCCCTAGCTTGAAAGCGTTCTCTCTCGCGACGATAGAACTCCTTTCCCGCCGCCTCAAATTCCTTCAATGACCTTTCTACATTCTCCATCCGTTGGTGGGCCTTCTCCACCTTATTTTTACCTTCTTGTTCGGGTTTCCTTCTCTCCACTGCCTGTGCTACAAAACCATAACAAGGATCCTGCATTTAATGTGAGGTCGGCGGGAAGATTGTCGATGCCCCAAATGAGGAGCCTGGGTAATAGAGGTCTGGTGTTGGTTCATTTGTGGTTGATTTGTGGTAATGGAACGCTGCTGGCGATCGTGATTGAGGGAGCCGATGTTTGATGATGATTCCATAGAGGATAGTGAAGATGGACGGTACCGCCTCAATCCGAAAGACACTGGGTAAAATGAAGTCGTGTTTGACGTTTCTTTTCGCGGTGAGGGCGGGTATGGAACCAAAATTTCCTGGGGAGATAATCCTCGGGTGTGAGGGTACTGGTAGAGGAGAGACCAAATTTGTAACCCTTTGGAAATACTTCTGTCGGTTCCGAAATCCAGCGCGCTGAGGTAGGAAGTAAGTGTAGTAGGGGGTCACTTTGTGTCGAGATCTCCAACGCGTGGCGTAGAGCCTCGTCCCTCTTTGTCAATTGGGTTTGGTACAATCCGTTCACGCTCCCTTTCGTCTTAACAGGTTGCAACATAGCGATTGTCATCCCAATGAAGGATTTATCCCGAAAATTTTGTCTTGGATTTAGATATAATGGAGCCAGCGCTTCCTTGAATGAGGCGCGATTGCATCCAACAGCAGGCCAACTATTCTCTTTACAACTTGTGGTACGCGCAGGGCATCTCCAAGACGGATTATCGGGACTGCACTGGTAGAAATTAGAGTAGAATTTGCAGCGCCAACACCCTCTCACGGTCTTGACTGCTTTCATCGCAGCTCGAGCGGCGGTATCTAGAGGGCCACCTCTGCCTGGTGTTGCTAGACTGCTAGGACGAGGTGATCCGGAATCGAAAGTGATTTCTTGGTAACTCGAGCTTGCGGGACTGTGGACGCTCTATCTCCTGCCAAATCTACCCTCAACAACTTCCGTCCATGCGTAACATGTGGACCACTTGGTAAGATTGGTAGGGTATGCTCTCCCTGGCTGCTCTGAATGCGATCATGCAGCGACATTTGGGATTTCTCAGGTGCCATGTGTACCTCTATTCGCTCCTCGGCCGAGACATCCGGGCGATTGGTCTGGATACAATTGTGTTCTATCTCGAGGGGTACCTGCAAATCTGGCCAGAGGATGTGATCGTCCTATAGCCCATGCTCGTCCACCTGGGGTAGATTCAAGCTCCCCAGGTCCTCATTTCTGATATCAAGATCATTCCCGGCCACTCCCATATCCGGGAACAGATGGAAGTCAAAGAAATCAAGTCCGCCCAGTTCAGAAGCGACATCCGGAGCAGCGACTACCGCTTTTACAACTCTAGCCGTTCTGGTCGCAATGGAGTAAAATCTTACTCATAATCGAATCCAAAAGAATGACCCCAGGTTTGGATGGCTCGCTGCTGCAATGGATCAGAGCCTTGGAATAGGGGCACATGATTGTGATATCGAATGCTGTCAGGTTCGACCGTTGACAACGATGGATTCGGTGCTGCCTCATGTACGAAAGTACTGCGAAAGGAGATTTTGAAATTATTGACAAAACCACTCACTGAATCACGATTCAAAGATTTTGTAAAGCTGTTGGAGTTGCATGTTGTTTATGCAGAGAAATTTGTGAGTTGCGCCCAGATTTGACGGTGGTCGACCGCCTAAGGATTGATTCAGGCCAATAGAAACCACAATCTGCTGGACCGCCCTAATTCGGTTAGCTGGTCAGGCTACCTCATTTTAAATGCCCTCTCGTCAGACCTTTAAATATTCTTCGTACATGCTTGTCGTCTTCTACTAATGAGATGCTCAACATTCGAAAAATATCAATAACTCTCTCTCTTCACAGAACTATGGACAGGGCTTCAAGCCATCCAGTCGTTGCTGAAGAAAGAGCAGTCCATCCATCGCGAATTATCGTCAATCAAGGACCACAGTGAATTGTTACAAAGACATCCTGAGCCTCTATCCATTGCCTGTACCCACGGCCAGAATCTCCGAACAGGCCCTATGACGTCGCTCTTCCCATCTCTCAACCTCACCATGTCGATACAGCGACTGCTGGCCGCTGGGTTGGCTGCAAGCTTCCCATTCAGCTCAAATACTACAACAAATCCGGCTCCTGTTGTCAATGTGCTCAACGGAAGCTATACGGGAGTCCATAATGAGTTCTACAACCAGGATTTGTTTCTCGGTATTCCGTATGCGCAGCCACCTGTTGGCGATCTGAGATTTCGTGCGCCATTTTCCTTGAACAGTACTTGGAACGGAACCAGAGCCGCGATGAAATACAGTGATATTGTAAGCCAAAAGCCACAACTGACGAGTAAATTGCTAACAGTTCTCAGTGCGTGGGTTACGGGGTAAGCCACGTTCGAGAGCAGGAAGGGTTCAGTGCTGATGCATGAAAGCCTGATTCGAATCACTTTACATCTTCTGAAGACTGCTTGACGCTCAACATCATCAAGCCAGCAATGGAGATTGACGAGCCTCTTCCAATAGTTGTATGGATCCACGGGTCTGCCCTCTTTCCCATCTTGTTCCTCAAAAATATCCTTCACTGACTTCATCAGAGGTGGACTCGTCCAAGGTTCAAGCGCAGACCCCCGGTACAACCTCTCATATCTAATTCGCCAGTCCGTCCTCGCCTCCAAGCCCATCATCGGCATCTCCATCAACTACCGTCTCTCCGCCTTCGGCTTCCTGTGGAGCCAAGAAGTTAAAGCCCACGGAACCGGCAACCTCGGCCTCCGGGATCAACGTCTCGCACTCCATTGGATTCAAGAGAACATCTCTGCCTTCAGCGGTGATCCAAGGAAGGTGACGCTGTGGGGTGAAAGTTCAGGCGGCTATTCTGCTGGGAAGCAGATTCTTGCGTATGGAGGGAGAAATGATGGGTTGTTCAGAGGCACGATTATGGAGTCTGGATTTCTGGGGGAGAATTGGCCGTATGGGAAGGGTGATGCAGATGAGTATAATGAGGCGGTGTACCAGGAACTGATCGCCCGGACTGGGTGTGTGGGAGAGACGAGTCCGTTGGAATGTCTTCGGGCTCTGCCGCTTGAAGTGTTGAATCAAGTGCAGAACAGTTCTGCGACTGAGATTTTCGGCCCTTGGGTTGTTGCTGTAGATGGCGACTTTGTGCATGAGTTGGGTAGTCTGGCTATGAAGAACGGTCGTTTCGTTAAGGTTCCTATCTTGTTGGGTACGAATACGGATGAGGGGACTGAAGCAGCACCTAAGAAAGGCATCGACACCGATGCCGATTTTGAGACTGCCGTTTCGCTTGCCAGGATAGATAACGATACAGTCACGAAGATCACGCACCTGTACCCGAATATCGACGCTGTCGGCATCCCAAAGAGCTACAAGCCTCCTCCCGAGATTCCAGGACTTGGCAAGCAGCACAAGCGCAGCGCAGCTTTCTTCGGTGACGCAGTGGAACATGCACCGAGACGTTTGACCAGCATCTCTTGGTCAACCCATAATCAGAAAGCATACAGCTTCAGATGGAATATCATCCCTGCCGGCGCGCCGGACTATATGGGTTCAACTCATTTTGCTGAGATCCCCTGGGTCTTCGGGAACCTTGACGGCGCGGGGTATGAGGCGAATCCATTCGGTGACTCTCAGAGATACAGAGAGGTGGCGAGATTGATGAATTGGATGTGGATTTCTTTTGTCGTGGATCAAGATCCGAATGTGCATGGAAGTGAGTTGCGCTGTTCCTGCAGGTGAATGAACGCTGATCAGATTACAGTTGAGGGAGTACCGCTCTGGCCGGCTTATGATGCTGCATCGGGCGTGGGGCAGAATTTTGCCTTTGAAGGCAATGAGTCTCATCATGTCGAGAGAGATGACTGGAGGGTTGAGGGAATGGCCTTTATTATGGACAGAGCAGCAAGTGAATGGAAGTTTTGAGACTATACATCTAATATCTTCAATCATCTAGGATTTTCTGTTTGAAATAGCCGCAACGCCATGATCAGCCCCATTCTCTACGCCCACATCAGCATCAAACTCAAACTCGCAGCCTGCAACCAGTGCCAAAAATATCTCACTACGGCCGTCCTTCCACACCCAACTTTTGCCAGCGCTGGACTAGGAAAAGTGGCTCGTGTCGGTCCGAACTGTCTCGGGACAGTCCATTCCACAGCCCGACTGTCCCCAATTCTACTGATAAGCTAGGCGGCGAAGCGTGTTTCAGCGCTCTGACAGCTTCCCCGCAGTTCTCATTAATAATATAACGTCTTGACTTAATATATAGTAATTTTAGTAGTATTCGAGGCCAACTTTATATTGGCCCGATATACTATAGTTAGGAGTTATTAAATATAGAAATATATTACTATTTAGAGATTTATTAATATATTATTATATATTTATAACTTAATATATATTAATTTTTAATATAGAATTAGTTATTTATATATTATTATAATATTAATTTTATTATATATACTAATATTTAAAGGTTTAATAATAAATATAGCTAATAATAGAAAAGAGAAATAATTAGCTATTATATATATTTATTAGTACTTAATTATATTATAATTATTATTAAAAATTACTTATTATTATATTATAAATAGCTAAAATCTTTCTAATTTATTTTTTATTTTTATATATTTCTAATTATTAAAAATAATAATATATTTCTAATTAATTAAATAAATTACTATTATAATTAAAGCTATTTTTATTATAAATTAATAATAATCTAAAAATAATATTATTATTTCTAGCTTTAATATAGCTTTCTAATATTTCTAGAATTAGATCTTTATTTAGAAATTTACTTTTATTATTATATATTATAATAAGAAAAGAATTTAATAGAATTATTTATTTTATAAATAAAAACTTGAAATAATTATTAAATTAAGAAATTTAATTAATAATATATAAATATATCTATTCGAATAATTAATTATTTTATTTATTATTATATTAATAAATAAAAAAATAAAGAAATTAGAAATTCTTTTATTATAATAAATATTAATTTACTAGTAATATATAATATTATTATATAATTATATTTTATTACTTATATTTTATATTTCGAATTCTATAATTATATATATAACTATTTAAAAAAATAGCTATACTAATAATAAATATTTTAAATATAATTATTAGTTTACTAGAAATATATAATACTATTTATATAAAATTAGTAAAGTTATTATTTAGAAATAGAAATTATAGTATTATAGTATTAATATATAATTTCTAAATCTACTAAATCTAATAGAAACTAGCTACTAGTCAAGTTACTAATATAATATAAAATCATATAATTATTATTTATATCTTATTATTTCTAATTACTTCTATATTATATAATTATATTATATAACTATTAATAATTATAATTATACTAATATTAGAACCTTTCTAAAAAACGCAAAAAATAGAAAATAGTACTTTTTTCTAATTATATATAAATTCTTTAATCCAGTCTAATATTAAATCTTTTAAATACTTTATATATCTATATTACTTTTAAGATTTTAATTATATACTAAAAGCTATAATCTTTTATATATAACTTCTTTTTTTATAATATTCTTTTATTTTATATATTTATATTTCTTAATTTAGTCTAGTATTAGATATTAGATATTAAATATTTAAATACTAGATACTATAATATAACAGGCTATATTTTTTTTAAAATTATATTATTTTAGTAGTTTTAAAGTTTAGGTTATATAATAAAAACTATAGTCTTTTATATATAACTTATAAAAATTATATAAAAAAGCTAGTTTTTTTATAAATTTAGAAAATAATTTCTTATAAATATTTAATTAATTAAGCTTTTATATATTATATACTATTTATATTTTACTATTTATATAAGTTTTCATTTTATTATAATTTTATTTTTATATATTTTATAGTAAGTAATATAAGAAAAATAGAAACTTTATAATTAAAATAATACTTTAAACTTAAAATTAAAATATTAATTTTAATATCTTATATTAATTTCTAATATATCTAGTAATTTAAATATAAATTAGCTATAAAATATAATTATTAATATAATATATAGAAATAATAGAAATAGAAACTAATTATAAAAAAATATAAAGAAAATAAAATAAGAAATATTATATTAAAATAATATAAATTAGATTTTAGTTAGAAACAGATTTTAATACTCGGAAATAAAGTTATACTATTAATTTATATATTATTTTTAGTTATAATAAAGACTAAAATAAAGATAATATTAATTTTAGTAAAAAAGGTTATTTCTAAATCCGGAAAAAATATTTAAAAAAGAAAATATCCTTAATTTTAAGTAAAATAGTAAATAGAAATCGGAAATAAAAATTAAAAAGAAATTAAAAATAAGAAATTATATAAATAATTTAAAGAAACTTCTAGAAAAAAAAGAATATTAAGTAAAGAAAAAAAGAAAAATTAAAAAAGTCAGAAAAATTAGTAAAATTATATTTATTATTTTTATTATTACTTTTAATAATACTATTAAATATATCTAGTTTAATAAAAATAAAGAGAAATATTATAAGTATTAAACTAATAGAATAAGAAAAAAAAATATAAGTAATAAAAATAAAACTAAAAAAGCTATTATTTTATTATTATTAATATTAAAATTCAAATTTTAATTATATTTATTATTATTAACCGATTTTTTTTCTAATTCTAGTTTCTAAATTAAAAGATATATTTAAATAGAAAGTTAGTTTTTTTAGAAATCTTATTAATAGAAATCTTAAATATAGAAACTTTATAATTAATTATAAAAGAAATTATTAAAATTAATATAATTAAAAATAAATATATACTAGTATTAGATTTAAATCTATTATTTATAAAAGCTTCTAGAATACTATAGTTTCAAGAAAATAATATCTTAGTATTCTTAAAATAATATATAAATATATATAAAAACTATTATATTTCTAATAATATTAAAAAAAAGAGAATTATTTATTATATTTCTTTTATTTATAAGAATTAGATTAAAGCTATATTAAAGTATTATACTAATAATTTAAAAGATTACTAGAAAACTAAGTTTTTTAAAGCTTTATTAAAGAAATTTCGAGAATATAACTAGAAAATACTTAAAATTAGCTATAACTTTTTAATTAGATTATTATATAAGCCTAAAATAAAGAAATCTTTTTTAAGTCTTATATTAATATATTTAATAAAATATTAAAGAAATTACTAAAAAAAAAAGAAATAAATAAAATTATTTAATACTAAGAATTTATAAAAGAATTATCTATTCTAGTAAAAAAATATATTCTTAAGAATATAAACTTTAAACTTATAAATATTTCTATTTATAAATATAATAAGATATATAAAAAAAAAATATATATTTTATTAATATAAAAAGAAGAAATATTATTTTAATATTACTAATAATTCAGATATATCTAAATTTAAATAAAAATACTTAAATATAATAATTTATAATATAATTTTTAAGCCAGAAAATAATTATTTCTTCCTAATTTCTTCTATTATATTTCTTAGAACTATTATAAATATAAATAAAAAAAGAATCTAGCTTATAACTAATTATATAAAACCTATTAAAATTAATAAATCTAAAAGAAATAATATTAACTAGCTAATAAAAAGTCTAGAAAAACTATTTATTATTATTATAATTTAAGAGAACTTATAAAAATAACTTAATATAACTACTATTATAATTCGAGAAAATATTTATAGCTTATTTATATAATTCAATTAATTATAATAAATATAGCTAGTATAATAGTATTAATAGTCTAATAAATATAGTTTAGATTTTTAAGAAAAATATATTAGAATTTATAATAAAAAATATAGAAAATATTATAATAATTATAATAATTAAACTAGAATAAATAAAGAATCTAAATAATTATATTCTAGAAGAAATTAATCTCAAATATAATTAAAGAATATTATTTAAGTTAATATAGCTTATAGTACAAATTTAGAATTAAGAAAATAAATTTATTATAAATATTATAATAAAGATAAAAATAATAATATTAATCTAGAATATATTTATATTTCTTAGTTCTATTATTTACTAATAAAAGAGTTTATAAATTATAAATATATTTATTAATTTAATAAAAAATAATATAAAGAGCTATTTAAATCTAGATAAAAAAGTATTTTTTTATTATTAGTAAATACTAATAATTTAACTAAATTATTTTCTAAATTCGAAAAAAAGAATTTAATTATAACTTAAATAATTAATCTAAAAATATCTAAAGATTAATAGAAAATATCTAGTTTATTAGATAAGAAAGAGAAAAAGAAACTAGCTAACTAAAATCTATATATAAAAGTAAATAAATTATATTTAGGAAATCTAAATAATTATTTTATTTTAAAGAAAATTATATTAGAATTACTAATATTTTAGATTCTAAAATTAATAAATAATACTAAGATTTAATTATAAATAGCTTTTTTATTAATACTATAATAGGTTTCTTATTAAAGAAAAAGAAAAAGAAATAGAAATAGCTAAAGAAGTTTTCTAAAAATAAGTCAGAATAAAAGAAAAACTATTTTATATAAAAGACTAGAAAAATACTATTTTAAGAAATAATAAATAAAAGAATAATTTAGCTAAAAATATAAATATTAATATTTCTGGAAATAAATAAAATAAATTAGAAATCTAATACACTTTTAATTATAATAATTATAGAACTTCTAAAATTAATAATATTCTAATAAAACTATTAAAGAAAATAATTATTTTATTTCTAAAAACTCAGAAAAAAAATAAAAATATTTATTAATACTTTAAAAAATACTAGATCTAGCTATTATATTTTAGAACTAATAAATTAAAAATAATATTTTTTATTTTACTATTTTATTATTAGTATAGCTATTTCTTTAGAAGT